GGCCGGCCCCGCGCGGGGCTGCACCCGGAGCGTTTCCAACCGCGAGACCCCGGTTCGGGTGGGGAAGGCGCTGAAAAACGGCGCAGGCTGGGAGAGCTCCGACGTCCGCACCCTTGCGTACCCCACACCACGGACTGCAACTGCCGAGCTTTTGCTGCGCCCCGCGCCGCCGCCTGAGAGCCAGAGACGAGGCCACCGCCCCCTCCGGGCAACCGAGGAGCGTCGGCTAGAGCGCCCTCAGGCAGCCATCTCGGATGAGGGCAGGGAGCCGGGCGACTCTCTAAAAGCCTGTTCCGCCGATGGGGCGTGTCACAGGTTCGCTCCACCCCTGCTTTGACCGCTTCCACGGGAGCTCTTTCGGTCTCACCTTCTTGGGAGGAGCTTCCTACCTCGGTAGTGGCTCCAGCTGTTTCCAACTTTTTTGGCCAGGACCCAACATGTCCGCCTCCGAGGAGGTAGACGATCTAGCTCTGCATGTCTATGGTAGCACAGTGCCCGACCCCCGAGGCGCGTGCGCCGGCCTGAGATTAATTTGAAAAGTGGAGGGCGGGGCTCTTTCCAGCTGGTTGACCGCAGTACTGAAGCGTCAGTACTGAATACTGAAAGGTGGTCTTCTGCTGAGCCTGATCTTTCAGGCGTTTCCGAACAGATCCCCAACCCTGTGTCTGCGTGTAAGGCAAGATTCCCTGAACGTAGCAAAGGCCCTCTTGCCGGTATTCGCTTTCAATCATAAAAGCCCTCCTTTGGGCCAGGCGCGGTGGCTCACGCTTGTAATCCTAGCACTTTGGGAGGCCGAGGTGGGTGGATCACGAGGTCAGGGGTTCGAGACCAGCCTGACCACCATGGTGAAACCCCCCGTCTCTACTAAAAATACAAAAATTAGCTGGGCGTGGTGGCACGCACCTGTAATCCCAGCTACTCAGGAGGCTGAGGCAGGAGAGTTGCTTGAACCCGGTAGGCAGAGGTTGCAGTGAGCAGAGATCGCACCACTGCACTCCAGCCTGGGCGACAGAACGAGACTCCGTCTCAAAAAA